ACCCATCTGCCCATCTGTCTACTCACCCGTCTCTGCCCGCCCGTCTGCCCACCCGAGTGCCCACCCAATCCTCTGCCCGCCCCTCTGCCCGTCACGTCTGCCCACCCGTCTGCCCACCCGAGTGCCCAACCCATCTGGCCGCCCCTCTGCCCGTCCGTCTGCCCACCCGTCTGCCCGCCCGTCTGCCCATCCGCCTGTCCGCCCGTCTGCCGACCCGAGTGCCTTCCCGTCTACCCACCCGTCTGCCCACCCGTCTACCCACCCGTCTGCCCACCCGTTCCTCCACCCTGTCTGCCCATCCGACTGCCCACCCGTCTACCCACCCATCTACCCCCCCCCCCCCATCTGCCCCACCCTTCGGCCCATCCGTCTACCCACCCATCTGCCCGGCCGTCTACTCGCCCGCCTGCCCGCCGGCCTGTAGCGACCGTGCGACCCCGCCTCTGACTCACCGGTCGCCCCGGCAGGCGACGAGACCTACGACTGGCAGGTTTTCGAGAAGAACACCGTGTACCGCGAGGGCTACACCGCGGACTCAGCGCCCGTCAAGCTCTTCTGGCAGGTGGGTTATGGACGGCTAGTGCCCGACCCGCCACACGCGTGCGTCGAGCCTTCGCGGCATGGTCATGAGGCCTCCGGCGGCGCTTGCCACGGGTTCGGTCCGCTGTTGTTCCCGTTGTTTGCTCTCGCACTATAATCCAGAGTCACGGAACTGGGTCCCATGGAGGATGCTCAGGGATGGATCGTGTAATCATGTTCTGGGCATGTTTGTCTTTTCACTTTTGAACCGCGTCTTCACACGGCATGAGCTGTCCTGTTGCTTTCTGTGATGACCGAGATGTCAGTCCTTAATGTGATGTGGTGACCTGGTGTGACCGGTGACCCGAGCTCGTGTGACCGGTGACCCGAGATCGTGTGATCGGTGACCTGAGCTCGTGTGACCGGTGACCCGATCTCGTGTGACCGGTGACTCGAGCTCGTGTGATCGGTGACCCGATCTCGTGTGACCGGTGACCCGATCTCGTGTGACCGGTGACCCGATCTCGTGTGACCGCTGACCCGATCTCGTGTGACCGGTGACCCGAGCTCGTGTGGCCGGTGACCCGAGCTCGTGTGACCGGTGACCCGAACTCGTTTGACCGGTGGTCCGAGATCGTGTGACCGGCGCCAGGCATCTCCGACAGGTGTTCCACTCGCTGACGCTGGAGCAGAAGAAACGGTTCCTGCTGTTCCTCACCGGCACCGACCGGGTGCCGATCGTTGGTATGAAGGCCATCAAGGTACGGCAGGAGCAGGACGCCAGCCGAGAGGAGAGGAGGGGGAGCGGGTGCTGTGCCGTGCTGTGGCACGGATGCTCGCGAAGTATTTCACCGTCGGGATGGTCAGCCTTCCGTTTGAAAGTAGCGCCTGGGCATGTCACGTATGCCTATCTTTGCAACTTTGTGTGTTAGAGACTGATAAATGCTCTAATGGAATCAGTGTTCCGACATTATTGTCAGCGCTGGGCATGTGCTCTCCAGCCGCCGGTGGAGAGCACATGCCACCAGCCGGTGGCATGTGCTCTCTCTCTC